GTTATGTATGATTTCAGGTGAGGGGGTGCAGGAATGAGAAAGGGATGGGATGTTGATGATGTGGGCCGTGTGTTGATTGGCTGAGGGTGGCATGTGACAGGAAAGGTGCATGACTGGGGAGTGGCACAAGGTGTGCCCAATAATACCCTAATGCTCAGAATGTTCAACAACTTGGAACCAGTTTACTTAGGAGATCACCTCGCCCACATGTGCCCACTCGACCGCTTTGATCAGTGGAAGTGGCATGACTACATTTCCCACATAATACCTGTTCTGTATTTGCAGGAACTTGACCATATAGTGCGGCAGCATCTACATTTCGGAACTCCCTGCCTATTGATATCAAGCAGGTGCCTTCACTGTATTCTTTTTGTCCCCTGTTAAAACCATTCTTGTTTAGGCAAGCCTGCTTAGAAAGTTGTTGTGAATTTTAACCGGCTTTAGCATTTAACTCTCTGTGTTTTAAACTATTATTGTACTTTTTTTCTTGATTTCCTTGTTTTATCTTTTTTTGTAAACTGGTTTGAGGTGTGTCCCCCTCCCCCCCTTAGTCTAGCAGTGTATAAAATTTTATGGAATAGATAGATAGATAGATAGATAAAGAAATAATGGGAATCAGGGGCAAGGAGGAGACAGTATGGAGCAGCAACCTGACTCCCTCAACCTGGTGGGGGAGAGACAACCTGAGCCACTCTCTCTCCCGCTTCTTGAGAGTTAAGTTACCATGGTGGTTGAGGGGGCCAATGACCAAATGACAGAGCCAGCCAAAAGAGAGGCAGAAGGGCTCTGGTCAGAGAGACCAGCTCAGGCCCAGCTGCCAAGGACACACCATGCCAGCGTGAACAGACTCTGGGAAACATCTAACCAGCGGGTGTTCCAGGGGATGGCAGCAATTTCTCTCTGCCTGCTTGTAGGGGCGATTGTACAGTTCTCCAAAGCAGAGACCTTCCCTACTCAAACTGGATAGAGACCATTGCTTTTGTACCAGGAAAGAGGAGGCTCCTGTCTGGTGGCAACAGCATCTGCTCACGTAATGAGACTCATCAGATCTAGAAGGGGAGGTGATTCCTACTTCTCTTTAGAAACCCCTTCTGAGTCAATGCACTGGGGCTGCCCCTGTGATTTCCTTGATGAATGGCAAATCAGCTGGCAGGCATCCAGGGTAGTGTGGCTAAAGCAGCCCGCTCACACCTACAGGTGGCTGACAGGCTCTGCGCAAATGATAGATGGAGCCATCTGTGTCAGCGCTGCTTAATGAAAGGGTCGTGGCTCAGCAGCTGTGCATCCCTTTTGCAGAAGGTACCACCTACCCGACAACATTTCTCCCATGAAAATAGGGAAGCTCTACTGCATCATTATCATAATCATCATAGTAATTTTATTATTTAAACCCCACCCATCTGACTGGGTTGCCCCACCCACTCTGGGTGGCTTCCAACATATACTGTATAAAAACATAATAAAAAATCAGACATCAAAATTTTTCCTACAGGACTGCCATCAGATGTTTTCTTAAGGTTGTATAGTTACTCATCTCCTTGGCTGGGGGGACGGGACACAAACCTCCCTACCCTCCAACATCTGTCTGATAAAAATAGGGACATCCTAAGGAAAAGTGGGATATTCTGGGATCAAATCAGAAACTGGGGCAGGGTTGCCATCTTCCAAACAGTGAAAATTCAGACAGAAAAGTTGTTGAGCATTTTTGGCAAAATTGCACCCCACAAAAAAAAACTTGCCATTTTGGGCTATTTTTATGGATAATCTGCAAAAACAACACAGCCGACATGGGTTGCCATATGTCCAGATTTTCCTGGGCATTTTCACCGATTTCTGCCTGGACACTGCGGCCGACTGCTGTATTCTGAAATTCTGAATGTATGTTATTGGGGCGGCTTCTGTAAATCCATGACTGTCCCTGGAAAATAGGGACAAATGAAGGGTCTGGGTCCCAGATTCGATTCCTGACATCTCCATGAAGGACTGGGCCTGCACCCTGCCTGAAATTCTGGAGAGGGTCGTGCCCTCCAGGAACTGAGTTGTGACTCATTGATGTTTTGCCGTTCATTTCTTCTGAGAGAAAGCTTTGATACATTAGCTCCCTAAGGCACTTAGCCGATACACGTAGATAAGCCTCTGTTCTTTTGCTGCACAATGCAGGCTTTGCTAATCTCCTCGTTTACTACCCTGACTGCCAAGCTGTGCGCTAGCTTTAGGAATCAAACTTTTGCGTTCCTCTGTCTCGGCCCTAGATATTGTTGTGAGTTTTGAGAGGGGAATGTGAGTAGACTGTATGGCTGAGTTACTTCTAAATCCTGGATCAAAGGAGGATCCAATCACTGGAATAGTCAGAAAAGTTTCTTGGTAATGACCCTAAGTGAAATGTAGGTGGGTTCCCACGAGGCAAGACACAGTGATAACAGCAAGAACCTTTACTGAACTAACAGAACTGGACAACAGGGGCAAAGCAACGGCTTATATATATTTCTGGAGGCCTGGGCCACTCCCACTCCCAATGTGATTGGCTGTCTAAACTTCCAAGCTGCAAATCATAAGCCAGCGTTTAAGGGCCAATGGCAGAGGCCCAAATCCTGAAATGTTCTGTGATTGGATATCATGTATCAGAACACAGGGGCTCAGAATCCTTAGTTCAGACTCAAGCTCAGGCAAACACAGACCACTGAATACATAACACTATGGGTTGTTAAGGTAACAAAGGCAGTGGCTTTGTGCCTCAGGGAGAATGGTCCTGCTCCCTCAACTGTCTGGTAGTTAGAAAAACGAAGGCCAGAGTTGAGGTGTTGTGAGTTAGAAGGTGGAAGGAAGAAACAGGCTGGGCAGCTGAGAGACAGAGCCATGCCTGATTTCTGCATGGGAGAAGCAAGAACTTCTCAGGGTGTTAATTCTGTGAGCCCCTCCATCATGGGCTCAGGTTGTATATGTGTGTAAATAAACCATATATCCTAAAGACACCACAGTCTCTGCTGTCCCTCATTATGAGGAAACCAAACCCTGGGTAACTGAACCCCTGGAATTGCGCACTGCTTGGAGATTGGGGTGGCATGTAACAATATCAAAGGGGCATTCTCTTGGGCTTCATCTCCTCCTTACTGGCTGTTGTCCCCTCTGGTACCTTGTGTTGGTCTGTAGCGAAGGACTAAACGCTGTGTGAAAAAATACGCACTTGCCCTGAAACCTCCGATGCTCTGCTTCATCAGATGGCTCTGAGTTATAAGGTGGTGATTTTGTTTCACGAAGGTATCTTGATCCACAAGGGCACAAAGCTGTCTCTGCTTTAAAATCAGCGTTGGCTGGGCTATGGGAGAGTCAATGAGTGCAGCAGAGAGAACAGAGCCTTCAGCAATGTGTAATGGCATTGATTCCTGGCATCTGAGCCTGGCTGTTACAAGAGTGTTCCTTTGTATCTTGATTTGTGAAATGTTGGAGGGCACGGAAACATCTATTTGAGGGGAAGGCCAGTGGAAGAGATGTGGTTACGGGCAAGTTCCAGGGGCAGGAGAGAGCAAGTTGATGGAAAGAGGCAAGACAAAAGGGGCTGCGAAGAAATCTCAAAAGAACAAGAGGGTAGTCAGTTAATTAGGACTGGTTTTATAATAAGAGTCTTGAAGCTGTTATCAGGTCAAAGGCCCATCTCCCCAGCATCCTGCACTCATAGTGGCCGACCAGATGCCTCTTCTGGAAGACCTGTAAACAAGACATGAGTGCAACATCGCTCTCCCCATTTGTGATCCCCAGCAACTGAACTCTGCTTCTCCTGGACTTCCGGAGGCGGCGCCAACAAGCAATGGCGATCTCCTCGTAACCTCAGAGGAGAGGCTCCGCGAAAACTGGGTCGATCCGCTACGGCGCAGCGGAGACCCTTTTGAAACCCGCAGGCGGAGGAAGCCTGCGGTCGTGGGACTCGGCGGGTGCCTGGAGCGCGCCCCTAAACGGCAAAGGACCCCCGCGAGGGGCTCCGAAGCAGGACGGGGGTGGCGCGGCACTGTGAGTCTTCTGCTACTTTCGCGGAGTGAAGCCGTGCGGCTGTTGCTGGAGAGCGCTGACCTTTCTTCCTTGACAATCCGGCTGTCAAAACTACAACCCGTGAGTAGGTTTGACGTTATAAGGACCAACTAAATTTTTTGAACAAATTTGGCTGAAGCGGGAAGGTGTAAAAAGGAAGTCCACCTCCCGGTTTGTATAAAGAATCAAAGCAAAGACTGTGTGAGTTCGATACCAAAGACTGTTAAAAGAGACTGAAACACAGACGTCAAATTTAAAAATTTTCCCCCACATAATTGGACAAGGGGGGGAAGAAGAGATAGTATTTCTTGTTATTTCTTGCTATTTTTGTGTAATTTAAAGAGTAAATAAGGAAACGAAGACCACCTCTCAATCCCTGGGGACAGACTGCCAGGCTTGGAAAGATTGGATACTTTGTTAGCACTCTAAATGGACAATGTATCTTCTTGCCTATTAACTTTACAAAATTGAAACTTTGGAAAAAAGTTGCTTCTTTGGCTGTTTGAGAGTTTGAGAGTTTTTATTTTTGATACTTTATTACTTGTGTCCCCCTGGAGGCCAAGGGGAAAAAGTCTCTAATTGACCGAGGAATTTTCCATTCAACAGCAGCCTGGGAAAGTTTAACAGCAAAACAACTTCGACTGTGAGAGTGACCTTGACTTCTAGATAAAGTGCCATGGATGAAAGAAACTTGAGGTCCGGGAAAGGCAGGCAACAGAGCAACATTGCACAACAGCAACAGCGTAGGCCATCCATTGCTGGGCCACAAGGAGAGGAAGAAGGATTTGCCAGTTTATTTAAAATTGTGAATGAAGGTTTTGAAAAATTGGGTCAACAGAATGCCGAGGCACTAGAAGCTATTAGACAAAATTCTGCAAGTATTGATAATCTGACTCGACAGACTAATGAAAATACAGATGTGATTAAAAAATTACTGGAACAATCTGCTGAAACCCAAAAAACAGCTTTGGAAGCAAGAGAAAAGGCGGTAGCTGCTGAAGAAAAATTACCACCTTTAATTAAACAAGTTGAAGAGCACCATATAAGATTGGGAACGCACCAGGAATTGCTATCTGTCCTTGAGCTAAAGGAGAAACAGACCAATTTAAGGATCAGAGCAGTACCTGAGATTGAGAAAGAGAGCCTGGTAGACTTTTTGACACAAGAATTTGCCAATTTTTGGCAATTGAACGATAAGGAAGATTTTAAGATAACGTCTGCTTTCAGGCTTGGAAGAGGAGCAAGAAAGAACAGAGTGAGAGACTGCCTGATCACCTTGCGATCGAAGGAGGAACGAGATAAAATTTTGAGTTCACACTACCGAAATACACTGATAATACAAGACTCAAGGATAGAAATATTCAAAGACATTCCAAAGCTCCTTTTGGAGCTTAGGTCCAACTATCGGGACCTGGTGACGCTGCTGAGAGGAAACAGAATTTTCTTCAGGTGGGAATTTCCTCAAGGCCTATCTTTCAGTTTTAAAGGCAAGAAAATTAAAATAAAATCTGTGGAGGAGAAACAGAACTTTTTGAGAGACCATCAAGAGGACCTACAAAAAGGATTGGGGGAGGAGCCAGAAGCCCCTTTAACAGGATTGGATCCTACACTACCACCGTTGGGAGAGAATAAGACAGAGAAGGCGAAACCACCAACAGAGGAAGAAGAGTTACTGGGAGCAGTTGGAGGAAAATAAAGAAATCATCATGGCTCTGCAACTTTTAACTTGGAATGTTTGTGGTCTAAATTCTCTGGAAAAAAGGAGGAAAGTATTTCATATACTTAAAAAAGAACAATTGGACTTAATTTGTTTACAGGAAACCCATGTGACGAGGCTTCACAGGAAAATATTGATTAATAAGAGATTGGGTCAAGAATTTATTTCATCAGATAAAGTTAAAAAACGAGGAGTGGTTATTTATGCAAAGGAGAGCCTCTCACCAAAATTTGTCTTTAAGGATGAACAAGGAAGATTCATAGCAATTGAAATTCAAGCACAAGGAGAAAAATTTTTGATCGTAGGCATATATGCACCAAATGAGGGGAAATCTATATTTTACAAAAAGTTGCATGAGATCTTGATGGACTATATGGACTATAACACTGTTTTCATGGGAGATATGAACGGGGTGGTTTCCACAAATATGGACAAGTCACAAAGAGAGGTAGTCACTAAAGATGGCAGACTACCGAAAACATTCTTTGAATTAACTGACAATATGGATTTGATTGACATTTGGAGAACTAGGAATCCCCTTGATAGAGAAGGAACCTTTTTTTCTGAAGCCCAAAAGACATGGACAAGAATTGACCAAATCTGGACTACTAGAGGACTGGCACCTAAGGTTAGGAAGGTAGAGATCTGTCCAAAAACATGCTCCGACCATAACGCCGTGAGAATGGAGATGAAGTTAACATCTACTGGTTCCTTCCGATGGAGGATGAATGACACCTTGTTTAGAGATCAAGAGGTGATTAAGAAGGCCCAAAAGACATTGAGAGACTACTTTGAGATAAATCTGAATACAGCTGTAGAAAAAAGAACAATCTGGGATGCAAGTAAAGCTGTTATGAGGGGCTTCCTGATTCAACAGAATTCAGTTAAGAAGAGGGCCCAAAATGTAAAGAAAGAAAAATTCTGGAAAAAATAAAGGAGGGCGAGAAGAAACTGAGAGTGAAGCCCAATTCACAAGAGATTCTGAGGGAAATAAAATTGTACCAAGTGCAGTATATGAAATTGATAAATCAAGAAGTGGAATGGAAAATTAAACAAATGAGACAAAAGACTTTTGAGTCGGCAAATAAATGTGGGAAATTGCTGGCTTGGCAGTTGAAGAAACGACAAAAACTCAATACTATTACTAATTTGGAAGTGGAAGGGAAAAATATCCAGAATCCAGAAGAAATCAGGAAATGCTTCCAGAGATATTTTAAACAATTATACACACAAGGGCCTCAGAAAGAACTTGAAATAGAGCAATTTCTGAAAACTAATGGATTACAAAAAATTTCTCAGGATAACAAGATATTGCTGAATTATAAAATTACAGAACAGGAGGTTGAAGGTGCCATTCAGAATATGCAGTTGGGAAAATCTCCAGGACCGGACGGTTTAACCTCAAAATATTACAGAACCTTGAAAGACTGGCTAATTCGACCATTAACTGAGGTTTGCAATGAAATTTTAGAGGGGAAAAGAGCGCCAGAGTCGTGGAAGGACGCATTTATCACACTTATACCAAAGTCTGAGACTGAAAAGACACAGCTTAAGAACTATCGGCCCATATCCCTGTTAAATGTGGATTACAAAATTTTTGCTGACATTTTAGCAAAAAGGCTTAAAAAAGTGTTAAAAGAAGTGATTCATAAGGACCAAGCTGGCTTTCTTCCAGATAGACATCTTTCGGATAACACAAGGAATATAATTGATATTCTGGAGAAGCTGCAAGAGGAGATTAACACTAAAGCAGTTTTGATTTTCGTGGATGCAGAGAAAGCCTTTGATAATATTTCCTGGAGTTTTATGAAGAAAAATCTCCAGGGGATGGGGGTAGGCCAAGAATTTGAAAATGGTATAAATGCAATTTATTCAGAACAAAAAGCTAAATTAATAGTTAATAATGTGATAACAGAGGAAATTAAGATAGAGAAAGGGACACGACAAGGCTGCCCAATTTCCCCATTACTTTTTATTTCCGTTCTGGAGGTTTTGTTAAAAATGATAAGAAGGGACCATTTGATTAAGGGTATAACGGTCGGAGCGAAACAATACAAACTGAAAGCATTTGCAGATGACCTTGTATTGACATTACAGGAGCCAGAATCTAGTACGAAAAGAGCATTAGAACTGATTCAAGAGTTTGGTCAGGTGGCAGGTTTTAAGTTGAATAAGTTTAAAACTAAAGTACTTGAGAAGAATTTAACACCGATCGAAAAGAGAGGTTTCAGAATGAGACAGGTTTAACAGTGGTAAAAAAGTGAAATACTTGGGGATTCATATGACAGCTAAAAATGGGAATTTATTTAAAGACAATTATGAAAAGTGTTGGTCGGACATTAAAAGGATTTAGAAATATGGACAAATTTGAAGCTTTCCTTGTTAGGTCGAATTGCTGTTATCAAGATGAATGTATTGCCAAGAATGCTGTTTTTGTTTCAATCGATACAAATAATAGACAAAATGGATTGTTTTAAGAAGTGGCAGAGAGATATCTCTAAGTTTATCTGGCAGGGCAAGAGGCCCAGGATAAAATTTAAAATATTGACTGATGCTAAAGAAAGAGGGGGATTTGCCCTGCCAGACTTTAAACTTTATTATGAATCAGCAGCTTTCTGCTGGTTGAAGGATTGGTTACTTCTGGAAAACACTGATGTTTTGGACTTAGAAGGTTTCAATAATGTGTTTGGGTGGCATGCATATTTGTGGTATGACAAGGTTAAAGCTCACAAAATATTTAAAAACCATATTGTCAGGAAAGCATTATTCAATGTCTGGATAAGATATAAAGACTTATTGGAGAATAAAACCCCAAGGTGGCTATCACCAATGGAGGCAAAGGCCCTGAAAAAGTCCAATATGGAGGCCAAGTGGCCAAAATATTGGGAGATCTTGGAACAAGAAGGAGATAAACTCAAATTGCAGAGTTTTGAAAAACTAAAAGATAGAGTGCGAGACTGGTTGCATTACTACCAAATAAGAGAGGTCTATAATTTGGATAGAAAAATTGGCTTCCAGGTGGAAAAATCAAAGTTGGAAACAGAACTGCTAGATCCCAAAACTAAAACACTTTCAAGAATGTATAACTTGCTGCTAAAATGGAATACTCAGGATGAAACGGTAAAATCTGCCATGATTAAATGGGCACAGGATGTTGGACACAACATTATGTTTGCTGACTGGGAACGGTTATGGACCACAGGTACGAAGTTTACAGCATGTAATGCTTTAAAAGAGAATATAATGAAAATGGTGTACAGGTGGTACATGACCCCAGTCAAGCTTGCAAAAATCTACCATTTGCCCGATAATAAATGTTGGAAATGTAAGGAAACTGAAGGTACATTCTTTCACCTTTGGTGGACGTGCCCAAAGATTAAGGCCTTCTGGGAAAGGATATATAATGAGTTGAAAAAGGTATTTAAGTATACCTTCTTAAAGAAACCAGAGGCCTTTCTCTTGGGCATTGTTGGCCAATTGGTGCCAAAGAAAGATAGAACTTTCTTTATGTACGCAACAGCAGCAGCAAGGATACTCATCGCAAAGTATTGGAAGACACAAGACTTACCCACTCTGGAAGAATGGCAGATGAAGGTAATCGATTATATGGAATTGGCGGAGATGACTGGCAGAATCCGTGACCAGGGAGTAGAGTCGGTGGAAGAAGATTGGAAGAAATTTAAAGACTATCTACAGAAATACTATAAAATTAATGAATGTTAAATTGAGGTCTGATTGAAAATAACTGGTATTGGCAAAAGCCTTGCGTTTAAGAGCATGGAATATTTGATTGATAAGGTTGTAAAAATATCTACATATAAATAGATTAAGTTTCCTGAGTTAAGATAAAGGAAGGAGGGTAAGGATTTGCTGAAAGGAGTTCTTAAATGGAAATACAAGCGGGGAGATGCGGGGAAGTCAAAGAACTAGGGAAAGATAAGAAGGTCAAATGAAAGTATAAACTTTTTAAACTTTTCTGTTTCTTTTTCTTTTTCTCTTTTTTCTTTCTTTGTTATGGATATTGTTATCTTTGTTTTTTTTGGTTTTTTTTTGTTACTGTTATTGTTGTTTTTTGTATGTGGAATTTTTGTATTTTTGTATCTCTTGGAATTTTTGTAAAACCAATAAATATTATATTAAAAAAAAAAAAATGAACTCTGCTTCTCCTTAGCATCTACAGGTCTAGCAGTGGATGTGCTGGACTGGTGTCTGGTCTTGGTAATGGACTGGGTTTTTTTTGGGGGGAAGGAAAGGCTTGCAGTTGGGAATTCGGGACTCTGCATGACAAAGTGAGAAGCGGTGATGGCTTAAGGGTTTTCGTGAAGGTCCGGGCATTTTTGTGGCAATTGGAGACTATGGTGTGTGTGTGTGTGAATGGATGGGGAATGTTCACGAGAAAGCTCTTCAGCCGCACAATAGTTCCCCTTCATCCAGAGGTATATGTTCCATCTTACAATTTGTCGCCTAACTATTTTCCTTCGGGTGAGCACTAATTGCTGAATATTAAGAACGAGGCCAATGGAAACATTGTTCTCCTGAGATCCTCACCCCCTTCTCCTTCTCTTACTCCATCCAAGGCTGTCGCTATTGAGTTCGTTCAGTTCCTCTTGCCTGGTGCTCAAGAGTACTCCAAGTCACTTCTAACATTGCACCAGAGTGCAGCCATTTTCATTGATTGAGTATTCCGCAAGTGCACCCTTTTCTCACTGCTTCAGCTGTTTCGTGCCCCACTTATGTTCTGATTATTCATCAGCAATTTTTATTTTATTTTT